ACTCAACATCTCCTCCACAATACCTTCCCAAGCTGATCCACAGCTGCAAATATGTATTCGTAAGAAATGACGCTCACAGGTCACCCCTCACCCGCCCGTACCGCGGGCCATATGCTGTCTTGGAGCGTAACCCCAGATGGTCGGCTTCGCATTATAACATTTATGGTTGTGTGTTACTTATGCACTTCATAATGCAGTGTGTGTTAGAACACGTCAGGCCCAAAGAATAAACCCAGTATGTCTAATACACTCTTGTGTCCGCAGACATGGACGACGACGCTTCGAGGGCTCCAAAGGGTTCCACCCCTTTGGTCTAAGGCGATTCGTTCGCCAGCTCTCCTTACACAGGTGATAGTGCCATGCTGATAACGGCTCCAGCTGATCTTCCGCACTGGTGTGCGGGCGCACTCATATGTGCCCCGCAGTTCTGACCGTACCTGACGTGCGGCGCGCTCCCCATGCGCACCCGCCTTCCGATGGACCGCACTGGCCTGCGGCGCGCTTCCATGCGCACCCGCCTTCCGATGATCCGCACTGGTGTGCAGGCGCGCTCCCCATGCGCACCCGCCTTCCGACGATCCGCACTGGCGTGCGGGCGCGCTCCCCATGTGCACCCGCCTTCCGATGATCCGCACTGGCGTGCGGGCGCGCTCCCCCATGCGCACCCGCCTTCCGATAGGCCGCANAATAATAATTATAATGACAATGATAATGATGTAATTATTATTTCTATTGCCATTATTAGTATGGAAATTATTGGAATAGTGTTAATTATTTGCTATTATTGCAGTAACTATCAAGATTATCATTATAATTATGACTTTATCATTATTATCATTATTATTGTCATTATCTTTGTCATTATCATCATAATTATCATTATTATTGTCAATAATAAAAGAATCATCAGGGAAATCATCATAATTACCTGAATTAATTTTAAAATCCTCATAATTACCATTAAAAAGCGAAAAGGTTTTTTTTTGACATTTCTCTCAAAAGGCTGTAATACGCTAGATTTTGCCGTTTTTTCGACTTTTGGGATTTTATTACTTCTGGCCTTTATTTCATTATAAATTGACTGAATGATAATTAGTATCATCATTATTATCATTACTGTCATCATTTTTATGATTATTATCATTTTAGTCATTATCATCATGATTATCATTATTATTATCATCATTATTGCAGTTATAATAATTATTATGGAAATTATTATTGCTATTTTTATCATTATAACTATTTATATAATGATAATAGCAATAATGATGATCTTAGAAATAATGATGATCTTTGAAATAATAATGGCAATAATAATAATTATAATGACAATGATAATGATGTAATTATTATTTCTATTGCCATTATTAGTATGGAAATTATTGGAATAGTGTTAATTATTGCTATTATTGCAGTAACTATCAAGATTATCATTATAATTATGACTTTATCCTTATTATCATTATTATTGTCATTATCTTTGTCATTATCATCATAATTATCAATAATAAAGGAATCATCAGGAAAATCATCATAATTACCTGAATTAATGTTAAAATCCTCATAATTACCATTAAAAAGCGAAAAGGTTTTTTTCGACGTTTCTCTTAAAAGGCTGTAATACGCTAGATTTTGCCGTTTTTTTCGACTTTTGGGATTTTATAATTTCTGGCCTTTATTTCATTATAAATGGACTGAATGATAATTATTATCATCATTATTATCATTACTGTCATCATTTTTATGATTATTGTCATTATAGTCATTATCATCATGATTATCATTATTATTATCATCATTATTGCAGTTATAATAATTATTATGCTAATTATTATTGCTATTTTTATCATTATAACTATTTACATAATGATAATAGCAATAATGATGATCTTAGAAATAATAATGACAATAATAATAATTATAATGACAATGATAATGATGTTATTATTATTTCTATTGCCATTATTAGTATGGAAATTATTGGAATAGAGTTAATTATTGCTATTATTGCAGTAATTATAAGATTATCATTATAATTATGACTTTATCATTAATTTCATTATAATTGTCATTATCATTGTCATTATCATCATAATTATCATCATTATTGTCAATAATAAAGGAATCATCATGGAAATCATTATAATTGCCTGAATTAATGTTAAAATCCTCATAATTACCATTAAAAAGCGAAAAGGTTTTTTTTTCGACGTTCCTCTCAAAAGGCTGTAATACGCTAGATTTTGCCGTTTTTTTCGACTTTTGGGATTTTATTACTTCTGGCCTTGATTTCATTATAAATGGACTGAATGATAATTTTTATCATCATTATCATCATTTTTATGATTTATCATTATAGTCATTATCATCATGAATTATCATTATTATTATCATCATTATTGCAGTTATAATAATTAGTATGTTAATTATTATTGCTATTTTTATCATTATATTTATATAATGATAATAGCAATAATGATGATCTTAGAAATAATAATGACAATTATAATAATTATAATGACAATGATAATGATGTTATTATTATTTCTAGTTTTTGGCCTTCTTCATAATTTATCAGGGTAATCTTTATAAATATTATAATGTAGATTTTCAAATTTAATCAATGTAGTCTATGTCACTGTTACAGTATGGATCTTTTTAAATATTATGTTTTTAGCCTCGATTTCTGCAAAAGCATCCAGCCACCACATTACAAAGAAGGGCCATAGACTGTGAATGGGCAGTAATTCTAATGACATGAAATATGTGAGCTTAGTGAAATGGCACTTTTTAGCATGACCTACATGCCACCTGTGAGATGGCTCTTCTCAGCATGACATGACATACATGCCACCTGAGATGATCCTTCTCAGCACAACATGACATACATGTCACCTGTGAGATGATCCTTCTCAGCACGACATGACATACATGTCACCTGTGAGATGATCCTTCTCAGCACGACATGACATACATGTCACCTGTGAGATGATCCTTCTCAGCATGACTGACATACATGTCACCTGTGAGAATGTCCTTCTCAGCATGACACGACATACATACCACCTATGAAACTGCCCATCTCAACATGACATGACATACATGCCACTTGTGAAATGGCACTACTTTGCATGGCATGACATAAATGCAACCCAGCGGGAAACTGGGTTAACAAATCAAATTGCATCAGTGTCACGGTGGTCTTAAAATATATTACTAGAGGGATATGCATTAATGTTTATAATATGGATTAAAGTGAATCACCTGGAAGTGGTCATCCAAGCTGTTGATGGCTGAGGATAAGTCGTGCATACCCTTGGTCGTAATGGTCTCTCTACAAGTCTCTGTTATTTTAATTTTCCTTTCTGAAAGATAATGTCATTTATCAGGATTCTGAGGTAAGCCACAGAAAGATTTCTTAAATCATAAAGCTCAATATATCTGTAGATAAAATATCCATCATTCTAAGTTTCACTGAATTATACATGACAACTATTTTAGTAAATGTGGTATAGAAAAATGGAAACTAACATTCTTATCCAAGTCAAGCACTGAAGGCTAACAAAAGACATATAATTACTTTTCCTTATTTGTCTTAAAAAAAAAAAAAAAATCAAAATTTCCTATTCTTCTTTATACTCAAGAAAAGATTGCATGAACCCGAATCAAGTAATATCATACAATCAAATAAAACTGAATCCTCTCTCACCTGTTGAAATCTTCTCTCCCTGACTTCTATCGACCCGACTTCTCTGCTGTGGCTGGGATGGTTGACCTGACCCATCTACTTTGCCTCTGCCATTTTCCCCTGCCTCATCACCGGTACCTGGCCCCGAGTCTGGATCTTCACTGGACGACACCATGTCAAGTTTTCTAAAAGGAGAAATATAGTTAGACAAATGGTATAGTAAATGCTCATGAATGCTTAGAGGATACCTGCAATGACTTTTAAAATGGAACTACTTCTGGTAATTATAATAGCTGTGATCTATCTGTCAGGTCTATAAGGGATGGATGTCTTTAAAATATTCACTTGTAAAATACTTGTACTTTTACTGGATGTAATGTTGGACTGATAATTTAGGGAATGTAAATATAGTGATATATGAAATCAGTGATTAAAGTATAGGCATTGTAATAAGAGAACATACAGTATGGAAACAAAAAAATTGTCTTTTTGTAATACCAACAAATAATTGTTTAATCTCTCTTTCCTTACTATTTTATACACCATACTATGATACATGTACACAAATATCAATCTGAGAAAAAATGACAAAATGTTCACCTAATATAGAATGCCATTATTGTACATATTATCATACTAACATGAATTTATCATATAAGTATGCTTTGTAATAAAGACTGTCGTTTCATTCATCTGGTTTTAAGCGTAATCTATCAAATCTAAATAAGGTAAATCATCCGTTTTAAATTGTTAGGTACTCATTTTGCTGGTATTATATGATAACAGTAAATAAATACCTTGTGTAAGTCCTTCAGATTATAAACATCAATATCAGGTTTTTCATAAACTTCTTCTTAGAACATCACCATTAACTAAACAGGTGTAAATTTCCCTTTCAACTGTCGAAAGTCGCTTTATCTTTCAAATGTTGACCAATGTTTGTTGACATCGGTGGTGTAGCGAGCGCTGGCCCATGATATATTACCTTTTGGCTTTGTCTTTCCCCTTTATTTCAAAATACGAAAAATATTCTACTAGAATATTTAATAAGTTTATTAATCTAAGTTACATGGTTGTACCATGGATTAATACGAAGTTCTATGGTATAGATTTTGGACTTAACATTTGAAATTTATTTAGCCCACTAGTTAAATTCACCATCATATATCTACATCTTAACTGCAGTAAATTTGAGAGTTCTACATATCAAAATATACAGAATTTACTTATTATTGATACTTGTGATAAATTATTATTGCGTGATGAAAAGACATACAAATACCAGAAAATAGTTAAATATTTAAGCCACGGTGAAGATAACATGTAAACAAATACAAACGTAGGTACGGTCGGGCTTTTTCATGGCTAGTGTATTTTATGTAGTTCATAATTCCTTTTTCATATTAAAATTTATGTAGAGGAAGTATACAGAGGTATGGATATCAGCAATGGTAATTTTCTATATTACGTCCGCATAACCGATATCGACGATTTTGGTATCGTTGGATTCCTCTCACTTTATACAATGCAAATATGTAGGTTTTATTGCGCGGAAACCCCTTGTTAGCGATAAACTTGGTCCCGATATCGGGGGCGACGATGTCGGAGCGGCGGACGTAATATATAAAATTACCCTAATAATATAACCTCACAGTGAAAATAATCATGATTTTTCACATGACTTTCCATTGCAGGTGGCTGTGCACCCTGCGACCCTCCCTGGGGGAGGGCTGCCGCCCCCAAATCCCCGCCGAGGAAACAAAACCTCCACCATGTATTCACGGCAGGATAGAGCGCACACGAACTAAATGCGGAGCCAATAACCTACAATAACCTAGGATTTTTAAGGTACTAACCTGATTGATTAATGCCGCTAATTAGTAGGGAGGGTGCTCCTTTGCCGCAGAATGTGAAGGAGGTCCAGGCGTGCTGGCTGCCCGCACCTGCCACAGGCTTTCTCCCGACGGAGGAGGCCGTGGGGAAGCACATCTCTAGCATTTTTCCTGGCTAGTTGCAATTTTGCGCAGAAAAACCGTCTCCGAATACTAGCACCCTCAACACTCGGCCATCGCGACGGTTATTTCGGTTAGGAATACAGATGTCGTTATTCTAGTGGACGGGAAACTCGACCTTGAGTCCATCGGTGTAACATCAAAAGAGGCGCAAAACCCGCCGACGAGGGCGGGCCAACTTGTTCATCCTGATTATACTACAATCGTCTCTATATACAGTACTGACTATGCCAAGGTTAATATGCTAATTCAGTGGGAATCTTATGAGGTAATTGTAATATTACGCCCGCCGCTCCGACATCGACGACGATTGTGTAACGCGCTAACCTACGTGGTGGAGGTTATGTTTGTTCGGCGGGGGTTGGGGGGCGGCAGCCCCCCTCCCAGGGGGGTCGCGGGGGCGCAGCCCCCTGCAATGGAAAGTTATGTGAATAACCATAGTTATTTTCACTGTGCATTATATTATTAGTGCTATTTAACCCCGCATTTTCCCTAGAACCTTTCATGCCCTCCCCTGCTATCGGTGCCAAGTTTGTCGCTAACGGGAGGTTTCCGCGCAATAAAAACTATATATTTGCAATGTGGAGAGTGAGAGGAATCCAACGATACCAAAATCGTTGATATCGGTTATGCGGACGTAATATAGAAAATTACCACAGTATGTTATAGATCAGTGTTGTCCAAACTGGGGTCCGCGTACTCCCGGAGATATGCAACATAGATCTTAATGCGCTTGCTCGTCCAGACAACTTGTCCAGGACCAGCAGGACAAGTGGGCTGTGTTCGGCACCTCCAAGACCCTTTCTTCCCAGGATGCAACCGGCTCGAATGTAAACATCCACTTTTTTTTTATCATACCGGTGCCTTTATTTAACACGTTGCATAGGTTTTGTAACTCTTTTGATGCATATTTAACTTCCCTGGACCTGACAAACACAAAAATATTCTTTGATAACACTAATAAAGGGTACAAAATGACCCATCAATATCTTGTGGTTACCTGCAACTGTCAATGTTTACATACAAAAGCTATTGTGACACCATCTCGTCCTGCTCATCCAGGTTTGCAGGAGGGCAAGTTGGATGAGATGGACAACTAGTCCAGGAAGAGATGATAGAGGTTCCAAACGGTCAAAACATTGTGTCCAACTGGCCTGGACGAGCAGGATTTTTATAATTAGTATTTTATTTGCATTATCCTAAATAAAACAGTTTGTTTAGCCATGCTGGACATGGGGGGGGGGACATAACAGTACAAGAAGGTAATTAAGGGTACAATAGGTGAAAATGTTTGGACAACACTGATAGATATTGTGATATACAAATATTTTAAGATTTCAAAGAAGTTATGAGTGAATTTTTAAAATGGAAATGGCAATTATTAAGTCAGAATAAGTTCTTAAAAGGTTTCCTCCCAGTTACTGAAAAAAATTTAAGTATTTTTTTAAAAACATTTTTTCGAGAAGCCCCTAGGACTCTGGTGAGCAGTGGAATCTGAAGGTGCTATTTGGCTAAATTAAAAGATGATAATCCTATTTTATAAACTCACATTTGATACAATTATGCTAAATGTTTATATTCTATTTACTTTATTTTTGATCTGTCACTATATTTTATGTTGCAACACCCAATAGTTCACTGTTAGTTTGCTAGGATGAAATGCAGTTCTTCCTATATTGCAATGAAATAGTTACATCAATACAAAAGTATGTGTAAATTTAACTGTTTATGGATTTTAGGTTTCTGTTTTCTGTGGTAGCCTTTCATTCTATTTTATTCACCGGTTGTTGTGCTTATGAATTTTCCTCCCAAAAATTCTTATGTAATTGACTTCTAATATGGTTGTGTAATAACCCATTAAATTTGTAAGTACATGCATTGCAGTGAGTGTACAGGGATGGCTAAGCAGGGGCCATTGCAGTTGACTCTGGCTCTCTTGAAGCCAGATGTTACAAGAGTACCTCATGTTGTGCAGGTTGGTCTATTCAGTTGTTAAGTTTTGTTTGTATTTTATTTTAGATTCCTTATACTTTGTTTATTCTGTATATTTCATTTACTCTAGAAATGAAATTAATTTTATTTTGAATTCATTTCATTTCATGACGCTTTCTTTTCTTCCATTTTTTCATATATGCACTCCTTTTTTTATTACTGTCTTTTCTTACCTTCCCTTTTTTTTCTTTCCTCTTATATCAGTATGATATTTTGCTTGCTCTTCCCATTTCTATTTCCCTCCCCTCCCCTCCCCTCCCCCTCTACCTTTTCCCTTTGCTTGCTTTTCCTATTCCTA